CTTTTAAAAATGGAACAGTCCTTTTTTTTCCTGGCATGAAGTCCTTGGTGATCAGTAACACAGTCAGTCTTGGGGGCCTCTCGCCTCTTGTGATTGCCAGTAGGGCAATGTGTCACATCTCAGCTTTCGGCAAGTCTAAATGGAGATTCTAGACATGGAATACTTTTGATTTTTCCTATGCTTTCAGCACCTAGCACAACTAGCACAGTGTCTGGTACATAATAGTTGCTTAGAAAATATTTTTTAAATGGTAAAATGAATACTTCTGCTTTATCAAGGACACTATTATGAGCACAGTGTGCGACTTTTTAAAAAAATATATTTTTTTAGTTGTTGGTAGACCTTTATTTATTTTTATGTGGTGCTGAGAATCAAACTCAGTGCCTTACACATGCTAGGCAAGCGCTCTACGACTGAGCCACAACCCCAGCCCCCACAGTGTGCAATGTTGTCCCATTTTCCTTCTCCCAAATATGTAAGATTTTTACTTTGAGAAAATAGTGTCAACTCTCAGTACTTTCTTAAGCAAAAAGTTGGGGAAGAATGTAGACAAAATCCATGATTATAGTTGATAGCAGAGCTTCTGGAAATTTCTCTTACATTAGTAACTTCTAGAGGAGTTAAATTTTAACTCAATGTGTCATCTTGGACCTCTTTCCTTCTAAGGTATTTTGGTGAAATAGATAGTCTACTGTGTTTTTTACTTGCCTCATCCTAGTTTACTATGAGGCTAGTCTGTAATTTATTTGTATGAATCCCTTCTAGGTGCATTTTTAGATTGTGTGTACACACACACACACACACACACACACATACATGCCTATCTTTGCATATATCTTGCTATTTCCTTAGAATAAATTTTTATTTATGAAGGTACTATATAAAATTATATATATGGTATAAGATTCAGTTAGATGATATCATAAAGACTTACCGTAATGTCTGACAATAAAAGTTCAAAGGTTTTTCTAGCATGGTTATTGTAGGTTTCATTACTTCTGTCTTCCCACTAGACTTTGAGCCCCTAGATAAAGTGAACGAATTAGTTAGAAAAACACAAGAGATCTTAAGTCAATGGCTTGAACAATAAGGAAATTATTATTCTTTGTTAAACAATAAGGAAATGTTATTATGAGAAGCCCAGAGGAGGAATGAGTCCTAAGCTAGTTGATTCAGGAGCTCCAGAATAACCCACCAACCTTTCAGTGAATGCCTTCTGCTGTCTTTGGTGAGTCAGCTTCTCCCCAGCTAGTTCCTTCACGTGACACAATGCCTGGCATTTGTAAACAGCAGATTTTCCCTCACATTTCATTAAATAAATGGAATGGCACCACCATCATTTATTTAGACAATTTTTTTTATTCCTTTTGATCATGGCATATGCTAGGAAACACATTTTACATCATGACTGGGGTACCCATCACACATATATTTGAGTATATGTATGTTACTCTTTACAAGTGAATATAATTCAGAATAAAGTTTTTTTCCAAAAAAAAAATATATGTAACTTTTCTACTACATGATAGTAAGAGTAAATGCTATTTTATTTATATTTTAATGTTTTTAATGCCCAAATACAAAAGTTGGAAAAGATTTAATTTAATGTGTGGGTGTAGGCTGTTCATTAATTTTTTTGTAGTCCAGAACACATAAGAACAATGCTGTGAGTACACAGTGGTACTCGATTGAGGTTGCTCTTTTAAATTTGAATTGGATTGAGATTGAAAATATTTTTTCACATCTTTGATTCATAAGATAATCTTAGAATTGATTCAAACAAGAGTCATTAATTCCACACTCAGTGGGAATATATTATATAAGTCTGTGAATACCAGGATTTGGGGATCTTRGAACCATGTTTGAAGTTGCCTAGCAAGAATATAAAAAGAGAAGATAACTAAATGCCATATGTGATCCTGGATTAGGAAAAAAACACTATAAAGTATAATTGGGACAGTTGATGAAATTTCAGTATGGGCTGTACATTAGATAATAATATTACATTGATGCGTTTCTTCATTTTAACAGTTGTGTTGTGGATATGTGTGACAATGTTCTTGTTATTTGGAAAAAACACTGAAATATTTATTGGAGGGAAGACTATAGGGATTTTCTTTGAATTGCTCTTACATATTTTTTTTAATTTGAAATTATTTCAAAATGAAAAGTTGTAAAATGTCTAGGATTATTTTCTGATGGGTGTGGGGGACGTAAACATGGGTTTTTAAATTTCATATATTCTGAATACACTATTATGTATATCATGGCTTATGATTCACTTAACATGTTGTTAGATTTGTGTGCTAGTATTGTGTTGAATTTTTGCACCTGTATTCATAAAGGATATTGGTCTAAGTTTTCCTATGGTATCTTTGGGTGACTTTGGTGTCATGGTAATGCCAGCCTCATAGATGACTTTGGAAGAGTTATCCTTTTTATTACTGTTTTTCTTTTTGGAAGAATTTGAGAAGGATTGATAATAGTTTTTTTAAAAAAATGATTAATATTATTTATCAATGAAGCTATCCAGATCTGAACTTTTTATTTTGTTGGGAGATTTGTGGTTACTGATTGAATCTTTTTACTTGTTGTTAAGTTTTTTCAGATTTTCTTTTCTTCTTGTCAGTTTTGGCAATTTCTGTGTTCCTCAGAATTTGTTAAGTTTTATTCCTTTAAAGCTTGTCTAGTTTAACATGTATTGAATAATAATACATTTTTACATTGCATAAATATATCTGATTTAATTTTTATGTGAATTATATTTGAGCCATACACAATAAATCCTCCATAAACTTAACATCTGATCTAACATGTTCTTAACTTACCATGATAATATTTTGAGCATTCCAGTTGTTCTGCATCCTTACTAGCACTTGATATTTTCCATTTTTTTATGTTAGCCATTCTAGTTATGAGTGTTCCAATTTTTTTTTTAAACTTTGAAGGTTTTAAGATGTCATCTACAAGAATATTATTACTAACAAACATCTGAGATCTATTATTAAGTTTTGCATATTTGTAAAACTTTTTTTAAAAATTAAATTTATTTTAAAGTCTTAGAATTTGTTCTTTTCTATTTAGAATGGCTACAGTCAAGTCAAAGATTACTAAGTTGAGTCAACATTTTCTTCAAATTTGATACTATTAACACTTCTCTATCTAATAGTTGAGTTTACCTCTGTAAATCCTACTTCACTATTTGTTTCTTCTAAGTATAAATGATTTTAAGGGTGACTTGTACTAACTCAGTTAAAGTATTCAGATTGCTGGCTTTGTCTGTTTCCTGAGTTGCTTCCCTCTGCCACACCCTTCTGCCATGTTCTGCTTCATTTCTGGCCCAGAGCAATGGAATTGGCCATCTTTAAACTGAGACCTCTGAAATTTTTAGCCCAAATAAGCTTTTCCTCTTCTATATTGTTCTTGTCAGGTCTTTTGGTCACAATAACTGCAAAAACTGACTTAAATAGTCAATCTGCCTTTTTATCTCTCTTTTTAGACAAGGAAAAGACTATGTAGGTTTTTTTGTTTTGTTTTGTTTTGCTTTTTGG